CCATTGTCTGTGTCCATGAGTCATGCATATATGCATGTAAGTTCTTTCTGAGCCTTGTTTAATTGAACTGAAAGTGGGAATTGTAAGTGTTTACCTCATAGATTTTGGAGATTAAGTGGAATGGTGAAATGATCCATGTTAAGTCCTTAATATAGTGTCTGGCACATGGTAAATTGTCAGTAGATGTTAGCTATTATTACAATGCTGAGTAGATCATGTACTATATTATATATAACATAGACTCATTGATTCATCTATATCAAAAGAGTCAGACTATAAATATTTTTTTTCAGTTAAAGATTAAAGTTTAAGATTTTTTGGCAAAGAAAAAGAAACCAATATATTTCAGTATTTTAGAAGTATGAGGAATCCATTATTATAAAACATGGAAGAGTGTTTAAAACATGCATTAAAAATATTTGCTTCAGTCTTTGAACATCATGTGAAATAAGTGATCTTAAGAAGATCGTGTGGAAGCCTGGCCGCTATGGCTTGGTTGGTCCCCCTGCCCAGTGTGTGCGGGGGCAAATGATTGCTGTTTCTCTCTCACATTGGTGTTTCTCTCTCCCTTTCTCTCTTCCTCTCTCTCTAAAATCAATAACAACATATTTTAAAAAAGAGAAGACAGCGTGGAAAATATTACTTCACATGTGATTATTTAATATACATAATTAAGGACTATCAAACAGATCAGACTCTATTTACATTAAAAAATTGTCACTGTATAGATTTCTAGATTAGTTGCCAGAACAGTAGCCCCTTTTCTGAGTTTCTCTTGAATTTTCAGTAGGAAAAGAAGTCAGTAGTATCCCATTTTGCTGTCAACTCACAGGAATTTGTCTTTCAGGCAGCTGGAACCTCCTGTCGAAGTTCCTTGGGTTTTTCAGGAAATGATGTATAGCTTTAGTTCTCACGATAAGGTCCTGGTGGTCTGGGAAAATTTGTCTTTCCTGTTAGCCTCTTGTTCTGTTTCCTTCTCTGTCAACTCCAGCCACTTTTCCTTTTCCCTCTGTCTTTAATGATAAAATAAAACAAATTATAAATGCATGTTGATATGTACTGTTCTTCATCAGGTTCTCAGTACATTAATGTTCTCCTGACAAGCCAACCCTGACATTCCAAGAGCTCACAGGATGTGCACCCAGATCACATTTAGGACCCAGGGATGGCTTGACCTCTTCCAAATAGGAGGCCTTTGGTTGCTGGCAAGCCTCAGACAGACTGGTTGTCTGTGGGCCTGAGACCATTGGAGAGTCAGAATTGAGATTCTTCCTTCCCCACCTGGAGGCAGAAACATCTAGTTTTCAAGGACACATGGCAGATGCTAGCCAACGGACATAACAGGTTGCTGTTATACTCATTTATACCTCAAACTGTATCAGTAAAAAGCACTAAATGTTCGTGAAAAATTATTCTATTCCATTCACTCTGTGAGTGTTAGAATTTATTGGCGTCTACTGTTGGTTAAGTTCACATTTTTGGTTGAGCTCAATCTTGGCTACTGTTTTTCCAGTTATCTGAGCTGCAATCTGGCAGCTTGGGAAGCTGCATATGGCTCTTAAATGTTGTTTGGCAGGCACATGGAGTGTTTTAAGGTATTTTTGTTTTTGTTTTTTGATGACTTTAGCAGCCTTCAGTCACTGTCATGTCCTATTGTCCACGAGGTTCTCCTCGAATGTTCATTCTAACTTCTTTCATGTTGAATTCTCCTTGCATGTTTAAGTGTTTCAGGCAGGCAGAAGAATCTTGATATTTTGAACCAGATAATCTACATGTTGCAAACTTCATTAAAATATTCTTTAGAAAATGAAGTGATTTTTCCAATGAGAATGAGATGTGTATTTTAAATAATTTACAGAAGAAGTAATTTTTTCAAACTTGGCTGTTGTAATTGATGTCATATAATATAGTTATGCTTTCTTTTTATAGGTATGTT